CAGTCCGTAGCATTTTCTTTCCAGATGCCGTATTTTTTCTCATTGTGTATTTTTTTCAATTGAAGTATAGTTGATTTACAATGCTGTGTTAGTTTCAGGTATACAACCAAGTAATTCATATGTGTGTGTGTGTGTATGTGTGTATATATATATATATATATATAAATTTTTCAGATTCTTTCCCCTTATAAGTCTTTGCTGTTTATCTAGTTTATATATATCTATTTGTGATCCCATGTACTGTTGCCCACCAGACTCCTCCGACCATGGTATTTTCCTGGCAAGAATACTGGAGTGGGTTGCCATTTCGTCCTCCAAGGGATCCTCCCCACCCAGGGATCAAACTCATATCTCCTGTGTCTTCTGTATTGGCAGGCAGATTCTTTACCATTGAGCCACCTAGGAAGACCCCTGTTTTATATGTAGTAGCTGTATATGTTAATCCCAAGCTCCTAATTTATTCCTTATTTTTTTCTTGTTCATGATGCAACTGATTCAACTTTACACGGATGAATCAGACAGAATCCCCATTGTCCAGGACCTCAGTCAATAAGGACAAAGGGCTAAAACCTTATGATTTTTCTCAGGAACAAGTTAGAAGCACCCTATCTGCTTTGATGAACCAAAGGAGAGCTCAATGGTTACAGAAAACCAGAACAAAATAATGACTCATGGTGCTTTTAGACCATTTGTAGAAAATTCCGTTATGCTTCCCGATGGGCAAAAATCTATACCAAACCCGAATCCTTTGAGAGCTTGGCCAATAACAGACATGGTGCTCTCAGAGGATTTTATGCTGTCTATCCAAATGCAAAATGAAAGCATTAAAAATGTAGAGTGAAAGTCAGCTGGGTTTGCTCCAAGGTTTATCCATGATGAGTCACCTATTTTTATTGCATAAGTAATAAGATCTAGTGTTGTAATGAAGAAATGATACAGTGAATTTAGGGTAATTCTTGGAGCATTCAAGACTTGCCTATGTGTTCAGGGACATTGTGTCCTTTGAGATTTTTTTCTAACCACTTTAATCTTCTGTAAGAAAGACATTTAAAAAGAATTCATTTGAATCAGTTCTAATGAGATGGATGAAACTGGAGCCCATTATACAGAGCGAAGTAAGCCAGAAAGATAAAGACCATTACAGTATACTAACACATATATATGGAATTTAGAAAGATGGTAACGATAACCCTATATGCAAAACAGAAAAAGAGACTCCGATGTATAGAACAGACTTGTGGACTCTGGGAGAAGGCGAGGGTGGGATGTTTCAAGAGAACAGCATCGAAACATGTATATTATCTAGGGTGAAACAGATCACCAGCCCAGGTTGGGTGCATGAGACAAGTGCTCAGGCCTGGTGCACTGGGAAGACCCAGAGGGATCGGGTGGAGAGGGAGGTGGGAGGGGGGACCGGGATGGGGAATACATGTAAATCCATGGCTAATTCATTTCAATGTATGACAAAAACCACTGCAATGATGTAAAGTAATTAGCCTCCAACTAATAAAAATAAATGAAAAAAAAAAAAAAAAGAAAGACATTTTCTCAATTTTTGAGAAAAGACACTATGTTATTTGAATCCTCACACAACTGGATTTTATGGAGCAGCTTATGGAAGCAAAGCCTGAAGGTTGCTCCCTCATGCTGTGCACAGATGCTCTTTGGCAGCACTAGACATGTATATACTCTGGACATGTCTTAAGGTATCATTGACTATAGCTGATTTACCATGTCATGTTAGTTTCAGGTATACCACACTGTGAGTCAAATATATATTTATATATATATATGTATAATCTTTTTCAGATTCTTTTCCTTATCAGTTATTACAAGCATTGAATATATCTCCCTGTGCAATACAGTAGGTCCTTGTTGACTATCTGTTAGTATTTTATGCCTGTTAATCCCAACTTCCTAGTTTATTCTTCCCACCCCCTCCCCTTTGATAACTGTCAGTTTGTTTTCTATGTCTGTGAATCTATTTCTGCTTTGTAAAAATAAGTTAATTTGTATTATTTTTTAGATTGCACATTTAAGTGATGTCATACAGGATTAGTCTTTGTCTGACTTAGTATGATAATCTTTAGGCCCATCCATGTTGCTGCAGTGGCATTTTTTAATTCTTTTTTATAGCTGAGTAATATTGTATTGTACAAATGTACCACCCTTTCTTTATCCATTCATCTGTTGATGGGCATATAAGATACTTCCATGTCTTGACTATTGTGAATAGTGCTGCTATGAACATTCGGGTGCATGTATCTTTTCAAATTATGGTTTTCTCTGCATATATGTAAGGCATTTGTTTTTAATCTTACCTCTTTTGAGCTCCCTAGTTCCCTAGAGACTAATTGCGTTTAAATTTTATCTGAAGGTTTTAGAGAAATTGAGGAAAAAGGGAAGGAATTGAGGGCTGTGGGTTGGCCCAAGTGTCTGTTACAGGGACTGAAAGAAGGAAAAAATAAAAGTCGTCTTTAAATCATTTCTGTTGTATGGAAATTGGTTTTCTTGTTAATTAATCACGGCACTTTATGACGGCACTGTCATAAAGAACGACAGTGTCACCTTAAGCATCTTCCTATGTAGGTTTAAGATAAAAATTTGCACATTTAAATACTGCATATTTTAAAGAACTTGTATGCTGGTAATTGAAGGCTATATTTGAATCTTGTGAGTCTATGAAGTCATATCTCTTTTTACAATGTATTTATTAAAATGCCATCTTACATTATGAACTGGACTTCCCTGGTGGCTCAGATGGTAAAGCATCTACCTACAGTGTGGGAGACCCAGGTTTGATCCCTGGGTCAGGAAGATCTCCTGGAGAAGGAAATGGCAACCCACTCCAGTACTCTTGCCTGGAAAATCCCATAGATGGGGGAACCTGGTAGGCTATAGTCCATGGGGTCGCAAAGAGTCAGACATGACCGAGCGACTTCACTTTCTTTCTTTCTTACTTTATGAACTACATTTCTATAAAATTAATGAATACATGTTTGTTTTTATACACTTCCTATGCTTAATACTGTGCAATTTAAAGGACTTCTTACAGAAGTTAGATAAGTGATTCTAAGTGATTTTTATATTCCTTTAGTCTAGAATCAGAAGTCAGTCAAATCTATATGGTTGTCATTTAACACCCAATGTACCTCCAACTGAAGAATGAATGAATTTCATAAAGTAAGATGCATACATGTATAATTATCTCATTTTTATATATTTAAGAGTAATGTATTGAACCCGCATTTGTTCAGTATAAAGTGATATACAGTTGGCACAGAATAAGCTTCTTCCATATGACATCTATTTCTTTTTGATTGTTTATTTTTTCTATTTTGTTTTCTTTTCAATGTATATAAAAGCCATAGGAATTATTAGACCTCACAATCCAACAGTTTATCTCTTGTTTTCCTTTATAATAGAAACCAGAAATCAGAAAAAGCTTTATTACTTCTCATCAGTTTTTAGAGCAGCAAAGTGAAATAAATTTCCTCTCAACACCAAGACAACCAAAGTTAGAATCAAGGGATTTGGAAGTAGATGCACTTAGCTTTGCATATTGAATGAAGCTTGGAGGACCCTTAAGAAAGAGCATGCTGCCAGTGTTCTGGTCTGTGCATCTACATGCACTGGAGTCTTTGAACCCTTTAGGACAGATAAACTAGGTTGATTTCTGGACCATAAAGATGATGTTGATTGAATTATTAAAGAAACAAAAATAATTAGAGATGCTATCCCAAAACAGCATTTCACATAGATAACAATTTATGTTACCCAGCACCCTTTTCCTTCAACATTTAGTTACAAAATCCTTTTTTAACGTTATTATGTCAAATTACAGGCCAAATGAAATTCTATTCTGTGCTGATAATGGATGTGTATAATAGTCTGAAAGAGCTTTCACAAAGTATAGTAATACATAACCAATTTAATTTGCAACTAAGCCAGTGAAATAATATATTTATACAACTAATATTGTCAAATTCACAATTTTCATCCTCTCGTTTAAATTACAAGTTTCTTTTGAATGAAATACATTTATGAGGAGCCTAATGGTTTCTTAATACAGCTTTTCTGTTGTGACAGCTTTTAGGGTTTCTCCACTATCTTTCCATTTAAATTATGCATAGGATATCTGAAACTTTAATGTGAGACAAGTATGGACCTAAGTAAAAGTTACAAATTAACTAATCATTGAAAATGTATATAATCAATAAGTACTTGAGTATTTACTATCATAGTTTTGTTACATATAGTTATATATTGATGTATATATATAATAAAAATATATTAAGGCATTACCAAACATATTATTCATTGAGTAACACAGAATTCTCTTTTCACATATTTATTACATTTATTACCTTCAATTATGGGTGTACATTTTAAGAACTGTTTGTTATTGCTGTTCTACCTGTTAAATAATTCTGCATATTATATTGTCTCTGTGGTTATGGCATTGTTGGTGCTTGGTTATTTGAATTCTGACAGTTCTGTCTCCCAGAGCAATATGCTTGTTTTTCATGTTCATGGTACCCCATCTAATCCGCGAAATAATTGTTCCAATGGCAATGTTCAGAGGTGAGCACAGAAAACTTGGTCTGAAAACAAAGTACAGATTTAAATGAAAATGTCAGTCTGTGAGTCAAGTGTGTTAACCAAAATATTTAACAAAAAATACAGCATGGGCTTCTAACCATTAGAATGGAGGCCCGTCATAAACAACCAGTATGTCTGCACGTTTTGTGCTCTTGACTGTCCACCACTGACCATCATTGTATGATCCCTGCTGAGAGCAACAGAAACCAAATTAATAAGAAAAACAGTCAGCAGCCTTAATCAGCATCATCTAATATGAAGGAATAAGTATGTTTTATAGCTCTGATAAATGTAATTTGGACTAGAAATTTTCTTTTGACTATACTGAAAGGTTTAATTTGGTCAGTTTTGATAACACTGAAAGATTTTAGTTGACATCATTGTTTCTTTTTTAATAGTGGCTAGCATTCAGAAGCTTCCTGCAGCCTCTGTTCTGACAGACATCAACTTCCCAATGAAAGGACGGAAGGGAATGGTTGACTGGGCAAGAAACTCAGAAGACAGGGTGGTCATTCCAAAAAGCATCTTCACTCCTGTGTCATCAAAAGGTAAATATGTGAAGCAATTTAAGCCTTGAGAAAAAAAAATATGAGTTCAATTTAATACTACACTAGCAATTTAGTCTGTAATCATGACCTTAAAGTCATTTTGTAACTATAGAAAACTCAATTTGGTGTCGCCTAAATCTTAATTTACTTGAATAAAAGATCATTAAAACATAAAAAAATAATACAAGTGCAAATTATAGACCTGCTGTTGACATGGTCAAATTTTCAGTGTTGACAGTCTCACCCCAGTGTAAAGCATGCGGCACGGTATTTTAAGTTTAGGTATTGAAATAGGCTGTGTTTTCTATTCCGTGCAAAATAAATTATTTCTGCCTCACTTAAAAAATTGATATATAAAGACAAATCTAAGAAAAGAATTGAATTTTAAGAACATCTTAGGTAGCCCCTTAAATTGAATGATCCTTTTCAGTAGGGACACTGTGATCTTAATCTTGGAGGTCTGACATTTTAACTGAGAGCTCCAAAGAGCATTGGCTGTCTCCCCACATCACCGGGAATTTAAGCTCTTTTGCTGTAACCACAGCCACTTCTTGTCTCAGCTTGAAGGAAGGTTGCTTCATGACACAAAACCCACTGAAAATATATCTTCTGGGGCCACGATTAACACATACAGTGTGTGGGCTCAGTTGCCTGGCATGGTTAAGAAGGCATTTCTTATTCCTGGCTTTGCATCGGTAAATACTGGAATCCCCTCATAATTAGGAGATTACAAGTTTTATAGGACATAGTATTTTTCTTGCTGTTTTGCTAATATGTTTAAATTTTATTCTTTCTAGAATTAGATGAATCATCGGTCTTTGTTCTTGGAGCAGTCCTGTACAAAAACTTAGATCTAATTTTGCCCACTCTGAGGTAAGCTACAAAGTAATAAGCTGTTATAATCTCTGTAAATTATTCCAAAAATGTGATTATAGCTCATTCTATAAAAATAGTCAAACAAGCTTTGGTAATACAAAGGGCTTTTCTTAAATGAAATAGAAAATACCAATTTAATGAACAGCTTATTAGCATACCACGGCATTCCAAAACAAGTAGGAAAGACAATTTTGGTTCCTGATTATAGCCCTGTAATTCTGACTTGCCTTGACCGAGGAAGAAAACAGTAAGAAAAAGAAAACCTCAAGACTCTATAATAGAATGGATCATTTTGAAATTAATCTGTCTTCTCGCTTAATTTGTACTTAATGTTACTGTTCACCAGCATGACATGAAACTAAAGCAGTGTCATGATGGCTGAGAACACACATTTTGTTCATCGGCTCAAGATCTCAATTTGCTTCTAAATAAATATCCAATTACAGTTACATTAAGAAAAAATGCTGTTGTTCAATTAGAGGAGTAATTTTGGAAGAAATCCATTGATTCCTTTCCTCCCAGACATTAAAAAGGAACAATTACAAATAGTAATTCTTCCAACATTAAGTTATTTGCTCTGCTGTCTTAACTGGTTTACCAGATCGGTAAAGAATCCGCCTGCAATGCAGGAGACCCCAGTTTTATTCCTGGGTCTGGAAGATCCACTGACGAAGGGCTAGGCTACCCACTCCAGTATTCTCAGGCTTCCCTTGTGGCCCAGCTGGTAAAAGAATCTGCCTGCAATGCAGGAGACCTGGGTTCGATCCCTGGGTTGGGACGATCCCCTGGAGAAAGGAAAGCCTACCCACTCCAGTATTCTGGCCTGGAGAATTCCATGGGGTCGCAAAGAGTCGGACACAGCTGAGTGACTTTCACTTTCACTTCACTTTCACAGAAAAAATAAAAAACAGAAACAAAAACACGGGCTCCCCAGGTGGTACAGTGGTAAGGAGTTTGCCTGCTATGTAGGAGATGCAAGAGACCAGGCTCAGGCCCTGGGTCAGGAAGATCCCCTGGAGGACAGCATGGCAACCCACTCCAGTATGTTGCCTGGAGAATCGCCATGGACAGAGGAGCCTGGTGGGCTACAGTCCATGGAGTTGCAAAGAGTCAGAAAGGACTGAATGACTGAGGACTCACGCACACAGAAAGCAAGGAGGCCCTCTCTCTGGATGATGCTGTCCTCACTCTTGATGACCTGTTTCCTCCACCAGGGCTCACTGTGGAGAATTGAGACAAAACTGTGTTTTATTTAAATACAGCCCCGGGGCTGTGAGCACTTCCTCACTCCCTCATGAGTAAAGCGCTAAGTTTTTCAAGGGGAGAGACTGAAAATTGATGTGTACGTTATACCAGGGGCATAACAAATGGGCTAATAAATAAAAACAATTAGAGTTCAGTCCAGTAGGAAAAGACCTCCCAAGAAAGAAACAACAGTTGCAGTGACTATTAAGATTATTTGGAGAAAATCTATGTGAAGCAAATTGATAGAGTTGGTGTGTCATCCAGGGCGAGGTTTCAACTACAGAGACAACTCAGAAATCTAGCTTTCTTTAACTCTGTTCTTCTCTGGATGGAAATTGGGCTTCCTGAATTTAAATAGGTTTGTGGTTCCTTTGGTTCTACTAATACCTTTTCAAAGCTAATTCTTTCACTTGCAGCTTTTCCACGGGTTTTATTAAAACACATTGGTCTGTGCAGTTACTCACAGCTAAAACTGATTTGTAGTTACACTGCCTCTATCTCTGTGTATGATATTTATTTGAGGAGAAAGTTAAAAGATTCTCAAAGTTAGCCCCTTATTTCCATTGGCAGTTTGTTTGTGTAAAGCTAATCTTGCAAGAATTCTAGATTAGGCACTAACTCAAAATCAGATGATTTGGGTTTTAATTTCAGTTGATCATAACAAGAAATTTATAAGCTTTTCAGTCACTCAGTCATCATCTGCTTCAGTTCAACTTTAAAATAGAAGCACCTTTTATGTGCGACATTCATTCTGTTTGCTGCAGAGAGACATAGTGAATGCAAATGAAATACTCAGTGTATAATGCTTTAGACTGTGAATTAGTTTCACTGCTACATATTAAACAGAGTTGCATTATGATTGATCTTATTTTGAAAAACACCATAGAACTTGCTCACCTACACAAAGTCAGATTCTTCTAACTTTTATAAATTCATAGAGTGAAGGGAATTGGAAATTTATCTAGGGATATTGGCCTCTTTTTAAAAAAAAAAAAGAAACTTTCAACATTTTTTACATCATGGCAGAAGCAGTGGTCACTTATGGGAGGACTAATGGCAACATTGTGGGCAGTTTAATGCATAAACTGAAAAAGTCCAGAACTGTCTCCACTGGCACTACCTGTGACAGAGATTCAGATTAACCTCTGGGCAAGCCACTGACTGTTTATGTGTAAATCGTGGAGTTGAACTCAAAGGTTCTTTTTAACTTCAAAAATTCCTTGTCTTTATTTCAGCAAAATTGTAGAATCTTAGCATTCTGACACATTTATTTGAAGTTCTTAATAATCTTTATATAAGAATTGTGACTATGTACACCCACTTACACTTTCTAAGGATGAAGTAATCAGGTAAACGACTATAGGAAGACAACATTCACCTTTAGATTCATTAGAAATAATGACCATAGAATGCTTAGGATGAAAAGTTTGTTTAAGCACTCTTTTAAAGGTAAGATATTGGCACTTCCTCATTTTCTTTCATTTCTCACTGTACAGTGATGTACACCACTAAACAATCTCAGTTTTTTTTTTCCTTTCAAAAAAATTGTTCCAGAAAGTCTAATGGGTAGAAGAAGCCTTTCAGAAGATGAGTGATGTCTTTGTTATATAGTCACTCAACAAATATTCACTATGCAACATCTGTCCTCACCCAACTGTCTTAATGCTTTTAAATCTCCTCTATTCTCAGAAGTCCCAGAACAGTGCTTAATAAATAATAGATGCACAAGAAATGTTTACTGGAATAATTTCCTCTATACGATAAAATATTATATCTAAAAAGCCAGTTTTTTAAAAATTGAGGTACGTAGAAGTTTAGTGTTTATGTTGCTGTTCAGTCGCCCAGTCATGTCCAACTCTTTGCAACCCCATGGACTGCAGCACGCCAGACCTCCCTGTCCCTCACCATCTCCTGAAGTTTACCCAAGTTCATGTCCATTGCATCAGTAATACCATCCAGCCATCTCATCCTCTGATGCCCGCTTCTCCTTCTACCCTCAACCTTTTCCAACAGCAGGGTCTTTTCCAGTGAGTTGGCTGTTTGAATCAGATGACCAAAATATTGGAGCTTCAGTTTCAGCATGAGTCCTTCCAAAGAGTACTCGGGGTTGATCTCCTTTAAGATTGACTTGTTTGATCTCCTTGAAGTTGAAGGGACTTTCAGGAGTCTTCTCCCACACCACAGTTCGAAGGCATCAATTCTTTGGCTTTCTGCCTTCTTTTTATACTATTAAATATTTTAGGAACAAAGGAATAAAATACATTTTGTTGCTTCACTGTAAAATTTGACTGTGCTAACTGAATCCAATAGAAAAAAGACATATCTTCTTATTCAACATGAAAAAAATATACAAATTTACTCTATATGTTTAGTTATAATTTGTCAGATAATTTGTGACACATTTTATTCTGTGATCATTTTGCTAATAATTATCTGTTGAATATTTTGGAGCCAGGTTTCCCATACACAGAATAATGTCAGGCTTGCTGTTAAATCTCCAGGAATTTTATATTTTGATACAATATTTTTAAAGCAATACTTTGCATAATTTCCCTGGTGCAGACCAAGAAGTTGATAATGTTTCGAATAGATATCATTTAGAATTTTCCCTTAATATAAAGGCAGCAATGACTTTGCATATTGACTCTTTCATTTAGATAGTTGTTTTTCTTCCCTTTCCCTAATATACCTTCAACTCTTCTTCAAACTGCAACCTCAATTTTACTGTTGGATTGTTTTTCCTTTTACAATTAAGTGGGTTCAGATTGTGACTCCATCTAAAGGAAATGTGCTCTACTCAAGTCCAAATTAACTAAAGGCTATTCTCAGCCTCCCAATTGTATTCTTCAGAATATTGTCTCACAGTAAAAAGCATAGACCCAATGCCAGAGGCCCTTTAGAGGTTAGTTCTGTCCAGACTCTGATTCTGCCAACAAGAGAACTGAGCCCAAGATGCTATGTCCCAAAGATGGGTGGGTTCTAATCCATCTCAAGTCTTTGGTTTTCCAAAACCATTATCTTTCACTGTCTTGCTGCCTCTGGATGCTCACATATCTATTTCTTCGAGTAGCAAAGATTTCTACATTCCTTTGGATACATGTATATCTTCTTCAGAAAAACTTGAAAGTCCCAGGGGGAGGTAGCCATGCATGGGTACCTCAAAGTGCTCGGGGTTAATTTGGTGGCCCCAGTCAAGGCTACTGACACCAAGGGCTGGACCCTTCCCACCCTGCATGACCGCTTTTGAGATTGATCACTGAAAGCTGACCAGCAAAGGTCTGTGGTCCTTTGGGGGTGCTGAGAGCATCCACAGAGGCCCTGTGCACGTTAATGAACTAACAACCACCCACCGCCTGGTGAGTTCTTGCCCTGTGGAACGTTTAATTGCAGTACATTTTAGTAGGACAGTTTGGTAATTCCAGGAGCCTGTAAAAATGCATGATTAACTGATAGAAATTATCTCTAAGGAGGAAAAATATATCCAAACATGCATTCAAGCCAAAGAGTTCAAGAAACAGTTGTAATCAACCCATTGTCTAATTCATCTAATAAAGCCAAGTTCCAGCTGTATAGGAAAATTACTATATTTTAATGGGAGTAATGTGTACTTTTCCTTGTAGGATGGATAGATGTGCTATGCTGTGGTTAGTCGCTCAGTTGTGTCTGACTCTTTGTGACCCCATGGACTGTAGCCCACCAGACTCCTCTGTCCATGGGATTCTCCAGGAAAGAATACTGGAGTGGGTTGCCAT